TGCCTGAAGTAAATCTAGAAAAACAAATATTTCTGATATAATAGTAATTTACTAAAATATTTGCTATTAGTGCTTTTTAATTTTATTTATTTGTGCATAACTCACAAATTGAAACATAATGATAGTAAGCATTTTCCCTAAACAAATAAGTCATTAACTGCTGAAGATAAGATAATGATTAAAATGCTCTATTCCATTTTATTTTGGAAGAATAAAAGCAAGAGGTGGGTTCTATAACATTTATTAATGTAATCAGCTCTGCCTTACAAAAGGAATGTGCAGTGAATTACTTTATCCAGAGTGGTTGAAATCCAACTCAAGTTATGGTATTAAAGGCGATGTACAGTAAAATGCAAATAAGGTTTTTTAAACATATATGTTTATTTTGGTTACTTGTTGTAATTGTGGGATTAATCATGTTCCTATTAAACATGTTTTGATACAATGCTAAAATTAAATTGTTTGATTTACTTTTTATCAGGCAGTCTATATGAGACATTCACTGCGCAGTAGATTAATTAAAAGTGAAGTAAATGTCTCATGTCTACATGTCCACCTCTATTAGGCTAGAGTAAATCCTGCTGCAAAGTAAAAACCTCCACAGCAGCTCATGTGTAGATGCTGCCAGGCTGGGAGGGGCATGGGGGTCCTTCAGTGCAGTGGCTACCTACCCCTGCAGCACATTGAGCCAGGGAGCAGCACCAGGCTGACCCCCCAATCCTCCTACCAGCTGGGGCTGCTCCAACCTGGCTCAGTGGCTGTGGTTCTAGGCATGCATGAAGGCGTGCACCCAAGAGCAGTAAACTCTGGCAAAATAAACTCTGAAGTTTATTGAAGCACATTAATATGCATGTGTAGATATGCCCAGTATGTTTTGTTGTATTTTATTGTCCATATTTAATATTTTAACACCAGTAGTTCTTACCCTTCTTAATTTTTTCTTGTGTATGTATTTATGCATGTGCACACACATATGCATGCACATATATATTTTAATGTTGGGTGGTTTGGCAGTAGAATTAGGATAGATTTACTCAGTAGCATACAAGATAATAAATAACTTATTCATCTGTCAGAGAATGCCAACAAGCACCTTGTGGCTAGAAATAGAATCCAGTAATCTCAGTTTTGATGAGGTTTTTATCTCATTGAAGCAGCTCTCTTAAACCTACACTTTGATGTACTAGTTCTTGTGCTCCTTGACCTAGCTGAAAAGTATGAGACACAGAGATATCTGTTGTCATTTTGAATACACATAACCTTTACTTCATTTTGTCAGGCCAGACAGCAGACACTTGTCATGTGGGATTGCAACAACTTTATTACCAGGCATATACTAGATATTTTAAACTTAGATAAAATCACATTTACAATTAAGTGTATGTCAGAGTGAAATTTCATATTGCCTCAACAATAAATAACATTTGATATTTATCAGGGCATCTTGCGGTAACCTAAGATGACAATAGAAGATTGAGTTATCTGCTCTTTGAAGAATATGTTGAAGTATAAGATCTGTCAGAACTCTAGACAAAATGAGAATATTCAATTAGCTTCCAGCTTCTGTTAGCAAATAAGATTTAGAATATTAACTAAATTCCCTAAAGGAACAGCCTTAAGTCAATCTTATTTTCCAGTAAAGAAACCAAGACATTTCTCATATATGAAAATTTTCATTCTATTTATTTGTCACAAGAAAAAAACCCTGTAAAATTCTCTGTTTTACAAGGAAAAATAAAATCTGTAAGCAATTCAGGTAAAAGAAAATTAGGAAATATAAAAAAAGTATTAGAGATGAATCTGATATATACAAAATTAAATTGTACTCACATGCTGGAAACTGTTTTACATGTTGTAGTGCAGTAACGTTCTGTGTGCATTATAATATATTATCATGCATCCCACTTAAATAGTGACTGCAAAACATTTTTGAAATGTCCATTGTATTTTAAATTCTGAATAAGTTTCAATATGTTAAACTTTGTTGGTGCTGTTGATGCTCTGCTTTTTTGTGTGTGCACTAATCTTTGGTCACAGCAGGTAGAAGTGAATGGGTGTTTTCCTTTTATTTCTAAAAATTATGATATCATTACCAATGCAGTCACTTACCTCCTGACATCTTGGTTTTGTGGGTGTACTTGGGGGTGGGAGGAGTATAATGGCATGTCAAATTAAAATTGGTGAATTCTGTCCTGTGGTTTTGACTGTTATCAGAGAGAGTCTGATTTGTTTGTTTTTTTTCCCATTTTGGGGGTGTTTTTTGGGGGGAGGATATCCTAGAGTGGTTACTTCACAGTTAACTTCCATTTTGTTAGCCTCTGTAATTGTTCAGGAAGAAAAATGAAAATTTAATTTTACTGTCCAATGAGCTGATGAAATATTAACCTCATTACTGAGGCAGATCATTGTACTAATTGGTGCTTCCCTGTACAAGAAGATAAATTGAAAAATGAATTAACCCTTTGTGAAGTAATGTAATCGTCATTCCTTTTTGAAGCAAATGATTTTCAATAATAGTTTAAATATAGAAGATTTAGTTAAAATCTTACTAAATGCAGGCATGAAATGTAATAAAAATGCTGGTGTATAGAAGTTCAACCACCTGAATTCATGAAATGCCATAAACTGTCTCCAGTATAAGGTTAGCTTAATTGTAATGCTGTTATGATAAATATTATATACTGCACTGTTTAGCTGGCATTAAATCTTGGTTGAATGTGTTCTAAAATGAGCCACAATGAATTATTGTACAACACATAAATTGAAGAACATTTAGTTTTAAAAGGGAGGATTTTATTGGCAAATTGTAATTGCAAAGACTCATTAGATAATGTAATTTATTCAAAATAATTTGAATGTAATGTTGCTTTTCTGATATGTCTCTGTAAGAACACTGTGCTATTGAGGGTTTTATTTTAATTGCTAAGGATCCTTTTGCCCTGTTGAGGCTTTGCTAAC